TCACAACATCACTCCTGTGCAAAGCTATTCTTTTTGAGAGTTTCTGGCTGGTTTGACCGACATACACTTTTGAACAAGAACCACATGGAATAGAATACACTACATTGAAGTTATCCAGTTTTTTAACTCTTTCTGTCAGGTGAGTAAAGTATGTCCCTAGTCTTTTGTAAACAGAATTTGCTATCACTATGTTGAACTGTCTGAAAAGGTTTGTGATCTGTGGTGATAAACCTTTGATGTAAGGCAATCTACCATAGAACACTTCTACTGTTTCTCCTTCTAATGTTTGTCTTTGCTGTGTTCTAACTGTTGGCATATCTTGAAATAGCAATTTATTAAGAAGCATCTTAGGGTAGTGATTTTTTCTAAGAATCTCATACAATAACTTGATGTTCTTATTGTAGTTTGAAGGGTGACAAATTCTTTTTATTCTGTTTTTCAGACCTTTGATGATGTTAATCTTCTGTTCGTCTGGATGATACGAGTGAAAAGGCACATATCTACCTGAGAATGTTTTTTTTCTGTACCAATCCAACCTTACTGTATTGTCCTCATGTCTGGTTACATAGGTGTCTAAGAATGGAACACTATTATTTTCTTCTGTTTCAACTGTGAATTGTAGGTGAGTGTTATATGAGTTGAAAATGTCAAGAGTGTAGTTGATTTTGTCTGCAAGTGTATGTCGGTCAAACCAGCCAGAAACTCTCAAAAAGAATAGCTTTGCACAGGAGTGATGTTGTGAGGAAGCCCACCAGCACAGCCTTTAGCCAACATATTAAGAATACTGGACACACTGCTAACTATGAAAATGTGCAAGTACTAAAGAGGGTTGACAACCAATTTAAGAGAAACTTCATAGAAATGTGCTACATCCATAACTGCAGCTCTCCTATGAACTGTAAGAAAGATGTTGAAAACTTAAGTTGTATTTATTCCTTTCTACTTCAACAGGACTTGACAAGAAGTAACAAACTGGAAAATGTGGGGAACTTATCATGACATGCATAGATTACCTACCTGTGCTTTAGAGGGGACTTCATTTCCTTGCTTATTATGTTGCCTAGGGCTCTTTCTTTTCGTATCCATGTGGTTGTGATGTGCAAAAGTGAAAATTATAACCTCGTTACATATGACACCCGGATGTTGACATGAAAAATGTCATCAAAAAAGAAGATTAATTCTTCTTTTCTATTTGTAGTTTTTGTAGGTTGTAAATTTTAGACTTTTTGTTGTGTTTGTATTTGAAAAACTACCCTGTTGTTGTAATGTTTTTATTCAAAATTTTAAATGTATTTTTTAATATTTTTAACATGTTTGTGACAGTGTTTTTTACAACTAGGACCAACTGAACATTTTCAATGTAGGTTTTTAAATGTTGATTTCCACCACTGTACTATAATAGGTTTTCCATTTAGGTGCTGATGAAGGTGACAACATATCACCGAAAATTTCACATATAGAATAAAGTTCTACACCAAGCTGGCTTATACCATCCTGATCCTTGTTTTGACGCTTTCCCGAAAGTTACCCTCCAAAGAATTGTATTCTTAGCGTCGTTATACACACTCTATTTATATATATATATATATATATATATATATGAGCCGTTGAAAACCAGAGTGGTCCAAGTCAAAAATGTTAAAATTCGAGAAACAACGACTTAAAGTTAACATGTTGGCGTTAAATGGGAACATAAAAACTGACTTTGATCAGAATGATTTTCAATAAAAAAAGCTTAAACTTAAGTAATTCCAGCGGAACAATCAGCCAGCAGTCGAAATTTTTATATTTTTTGTTAATATTTTGACTTAGACCACTCTGGCTTTTAATAGGTTCATTATTTTGGAGTAAAGCAAAAAAGTTAGACTTACAATCGATCGTGTATTTTTGTGTATTATATTATTACAAATTAAATTTTTATTCATAAAAAACATCGTCGTCTCCATTCGCCACCAAAATATCTTCCAGTGGACCTACTTCTGCAGTGTTGTTTCCATTTACGGATAAATTTTTGAAAAAGTCGTGATGAATGGGCGGTATAAACGCCAAAAGATCTTCCATATCCTTTTTTTTTTCTTAATCGTAACTGGTATTGGAGCTTCATACAGTTTTGAAAATTCAATATTTTGAAAATTGGCGATACGTCCTTTTCGTACAGGTTGCAAGTTTATGACATCAAAAGGAAACTCCTCATCTGTTTCTTTATAAAATATTTTATAGGGATCACTCTTTCTAAATTGTAGCCATTGAATTTTAAGCCACGATACTGGCGCGTTATCTTCATTTTTCTTTCTTCTGGTAACAGCTACTACCAGGTTTTGTGACGATACAAAATTATTTCCGTTCATCTTGAAAACACGATACGGTTTCTTTGTGCGGCACTTCTCAAACACACTGTATCAGTCGTCCGGCACATACTTCACTCTATTCTTTGCGTATTGTTCGATTACACCAAAATCACGATCATTCGGGAGAAAGGAATGTCCGGATACCATAAACTTATGGTCTACCATTTCCAAATTATCGGAATCTGCAATGAGTTTCAACCAAAACAAACACTGTTTAAAGTTCCTCTTCTGCCCCCCACAGGCATCACTAAATGCAATGATGTGTCTTGCGTCCTTTGCATTTTCTAGAACATGCTTTCGAATACAAGATCCTATTTCTTGTGCTCCTCGAGAGGCTATAGTTTCATCCCAGGCATACAGGAACACCTTGTCTTCGTCGCTAAACTCGTGAATACCCAAATTGTACACATACATGTTTCTTTTATAGTAGGCTACAGAGCAGGTCAAAGTTGGAAACGGTAATGCCTTTTCTAAATCAAACGTGAATGCACACACTCTCCTTTTTCACGTATGCTTGTAATTTTAGCGTCTTTCAGAGCAGCTCTGGCCTTTTCACTGCGCCGTAAATGCAGCTCGTGTTGTGATTGAAGCACTTTCTTCGTATTTTCGTCCTTTTCCTGGGTCACCTGATTTTTGTATTTGTCACACTTAACACATGTATTTTTTAATGGTACGTGAAAGTGAAGATTGAAATCGCGATGGAAAATTTGTCTGTATAAACTTTCTGACACAGGATCTTCTACACATTTCTCTTTGTACAGGGTATACATTGTACGTACATTGAGCTCTGGATCTAAAAGCTTCCTATTAGGATTTTGAGCTCGTGTATAATGAGATTCATAAGAACGAAAGCTGTTTATGTGATCGCGTACTAACTGTATATTTCCTTCAGGAGTTTTATTGCTAGGTGCGTGTTTGCCCCGTAAATCTTCACCAGGAAATGATATCTCCCCCTTTTTTAATGTACGCATTAACCTACCATTACTTATTGCAAAGGTTTCCAAAAAGTACATTTTGCACACTTTATGAGACTCTTTCGGGGTATTTAGGACATAAGTGTAGGATACTGCTTTTTTTCTGCCTTGTACCATTTCTTGGACGGTGAGTGGCTGGTTTAGACAATTTTACAATACCAACTAGAAAAGCATTTTGTGCTGAAAAATTAACTATGTTCCAGAAATTTGTAAAGATAGCTTTCCTTTCTTCCTGAGAAATTTTTTTAATGCATTTGCCCTTGCACGTACACTCCCTGTTATGAAACTCTTTCGCTTTTACCACCTTATTAGATGTAGACACATATTGTTCCCCACAGTTTCTTTTCGAACATTCTTGATGTGTTTACTTGGCTCTCTATTTCGTTTTCTGCCGACGTGCTTGGTAGTTGATCCCAATTTTAACTTCGAACTTTCGTCAACTGAAACAAACGTGCAAATAAAATACTGCTATTCACACATTTGAGGTTATGAAAGGAAATAACAAAATAAACTTACCTCTATCAGAATCAGATTCTGTTGAATCGTCATTGTTTTCTGGCTTGTACTCGCCCAATTTTAACTTCGAACGTTTGTCAGCTGAAACAAACGTGCAAATAAAATACTGCTATTCACACATTTGAGGTTATAAAAGGAAATAAAAAAAAAACTTACCGCTATCAGAATTAGATTCTGTTGAATCGTCATTGTTTTCTAGCTCGTACTCGCTATCACTAGCACTAAACGGTTTATTTACAGATTCACTAGAACTCATTTTACTACAAGCCAACGTGACACTTATAAAAAATTCGTGACAGAATTTCTGGCAGAATGGTCCAAGTCAGACTTAGACCATTTTGCCTTAAAACGGCAACCTTCGTAGCATTTGACATATATTACAGTAGTGTCATCTGTGAGTGAACGGATGCACTAATATTTTTCAAATGTTGTAGCAAAATAGAACACTGTTAAACAGAATTATATACCGAGAAAACGCGAAACATGAAATTCTTGACTTAGACCACTCTGGTTATATATATATATATATATATATATATATATATATATATATATATATATATATATATATATATATATATATATATATATATATATATATATATATTGTCATTATGTAAAAAAAGTTATTAACAATATTAAAAGGACTATTTTTGACCAGCTTTTAGGATAATCCTTACATGGATTAAAGATAATAGCACAAAGCTATTTGCAAATTAGTTTGTTTTGACAGTGCCTAAAAGTGAACTGCTCTTCTAACCTTATAAAATATAAAATAAACCTTTGTACTACTACGTTCTTCGTTTTTAATTCTACTCTAACAAACAAGCAAAGGAAAGGTTATGACAACTGAACTTAAACTCAGTTTAAGCTCAGTTTTAGCTTATAAGCGAAGCAGTAACATCCCCAGAAGATGTCAACCCCTAGTGTGCGTCTTCTAGTGTTGGCGAAACGTCGAGAACTAATCTCAGAAGACAACGGCCTAACAGCCCGAACAAACAGTTTAACAAAATGTTTTTTGTCCTAAAATCTTTAAGAGGTTATGTAGTTATCGAACAACCTCTTCATCCCTTTAATTTATCTATAATAAAAAGTAATAAGATAATATTAATCGGTTTCAATATTGAACACATTCATGACAGATTACTAAACATTTTTACAGAAGGAATGAATCCTAAGCACGTTCAGGAACAACTAGCCCACGACCTGAAACATTCTAAAGAAAACATGGAACATGCGAAAATTGATACCAGCAAAGTGAAGATAACGAAGCATTTACATCACGAAGAAGAGCAGTACCCGGACGTGGTAGCTTACAAATTAAGTGGAGCTGACGATCTAGAGGACGGAATTGCGCATACGCAGAAAGGAGCAGTTCTATCTGTATCGCTTGGTAAGTATATTTATTGCAGATTTTTCTTAAAGGTTCATTTATTTTATATTCGCGTTTAGAAGAACAACAAGGATTCAGGACCAACAGATCTGTAAACCAATGTGATCTTCATATTATGGCAACTATTAGAAAAGGGGAAAACATAGTAAAATTTATTAAAGTTCAAAGAGTGAGATGGTTTGGACACAAAAAAGATGCACTAATTAGGAGAATAATGAACTGGAAATCAGTAAAAAATAGACTAAGGAGAAGACCAAAACACGATGGAAAGACCAACTACTAGAGGATATATCAAAGATAGAAATTACAAACAGGAGAGAAAAGATTCAGGAACAAAGAGAGTAAAAACAGATAAGTAGTAGACAAAGCAGAAAAGCATAACAATCTTTGGATTGAACTACAGACCAATTCCTAATAATCTAAAAACCTGGAGAAAACAATGACATAAAACAATCTCTAATTCCTCGTGAAAAGTCTTCCAGAATACCTCGAATATAATGGCTTACCCAAAATTTACAAAACCCGATATTCCTCTACGTCCTATTGTCAGTGCATACAACTGCCTTACATAACCATTGGCCAAAACTCCGCAACCTCTCGCCGAAAATGCTTCATCCTTCGTCAAAAATTCTTTTCATTTAATCGAACTTCTAAAACAATACCCTATATCACCGTTAGACATTCTAGTAAGTTTCGATATCGTTTCACTCTTTATAAACATTCCTATAAACGTAACTCTAAACATTCTTCTTCTTCTAAATGTGCCTATCTTCTAGATATGTTGGCGACCACATTGACCCATCTTATTCTATTCACAGCAGCTAGAAATACAGTATCATCACTTATCTCTTCTTATCTATTCCAAAATTAAATCTTACAGACAAATAAATGGTGCCCAATGGGCTCCCCACTATCTTCAGTAATTGCCAATATATTTATGGAAGACTTCGAGACCCGAGCACTATTCACATCAATGCTCAAACCCACGTGTTAGCTACGATATGTTAACGATACATTCGTCATTAAGCCCATGGCTGGGATGCTTTACTGTCTTTTAGGCCCATCTGAATGGTATACATCCTAGTATCCAGTTCAAGATGGGGGGTGGAAACTTATTCATTCCTACCGTTCGTTAATGTTATCATAAAAAAACCAATCATAAAAATCACATTAATGGGAGCATCCACAGACATCAGTCTCTCACTCAATCCCAACAGAAAGACTGAGACGGTTGGAACATATCTAAAAGAATGCCAAACACGAACACGCAAAAGAATACTAAGGGAGGAATAAGTGAAAAGAAAAAACAGAATGAAACCCTAGTAGAACATGGATGTTAAAAAAGACAGAAGAATCCCAACTTAAAATCCCAAAGTGAAAAATTAAGCAGCAAACAGCAAAGAATGGAAGAGAACAGTAAACCAAGCCATATGGGTCTTATACGAGCCCTAACAACTATATGTTGGATCAAGCAGATATTTTGCAAATATAATGCCAATTTACCGAAATTCTTTTATTTAATTTTTTTTATTCATCCCTTATTTTTAATGTCCACGTATAATTTACACAATTCCAATTCCTTACCACCAATAAAACCTATTCCACTAATTTTAGCACAGACACTTAATGATATCTCTCTTACACATACCCTTCCTCTTTATCCCCCTATATCTCCTCCCTGGATCATCTCCACGCCCAAATTTAACACCTCGCTCACCAACTGCGATAAAAATAAACATCCGAAAGAGATCATTATAAATGCATTTAAAGACATTATAAATACAAATAGTTACGACCTAATATTATACACGGATGCCTCAAAAAATGACACAGGAGTAGGCTGCTCTGTTACAACCTCTCATTCACTAATTAAGTCATCACCTATACCATCCGTCAGCAGCGTCCATACTGGTGAATTATTTAGTGTATTGCAAGCTTTTAACCATATATATCCACCTAATAAGCAGGTTGCCATATGCACAGACTCTTTAGCATCAATCCATTCTATCAAAAATATATTTACCGATCATCCAATCGTCCAAAAGATCCTAGACTCTTACCAAATTATCTTGTCCCAAAACATAACAGTTACCATAATTTGGCTGCGATCTCACATTGGTATAGAGGACAACGAAACTGCAGATCACTATGCTAAACTTGCTACAGCATCACCTGAAATCACCGATAACATTCAAATTTGTAAGGACCTAAAATCATATACTAAAAGAAGAACCAGACTCCTTTGGCAGCAGCATTGGAACTCTAACGGTTCGATCTTACACGAAATACAACCGTCAATAATCAGTCAGCCTACATTTGACTATTCAGCCCTGTCAAGACGAGATCTCATTGTGATAAGACGACTACGGATAGGACATTCAAAACTCACACACGGCTACCTAATGTCCTCTAGCATCCGTCCCTCCTGTCAAAGCTGCCAATCATATTTGACAATCAAACATATCCTCACTGAATGCCATCAATATTCGGCCAGAAGATTACAATACAAACTCAAAAGTGAAGTACGAGATATTATAAACGACCCTGACCAAATAAAAGCTGTGCTACATTTCCTTAGAGATGAACACTTATATCAAAAAATATAATTAGATTTTAATTTAGACATTTTGTAACACATTATTATCATTCCGTATTATTGTAACATATTCTTAATGTAACACTTATTGTTTGTGTAATGAAAACTCATGTTATAGTACCTGTGTAAGTGGCCATAGTAGCCGAGCACGTTAACGTCGAAATAATAAAAAAAAATTATTGTAAATATAAAATTAACACCATTTTTATGATGTATGGAATTATTTTAGCGGCTTAATTATATATTTTTCCATTGATTACTGTTTAATTAATTGTTTGATAATCGAAAACTGCTGACAACTAAATATTAAAACATTTGTTGCTTTTCCTCACGTTTCGTAAATTTTATCAGCCTGAAGCCAAGAAGGAATTTGAAATCAAATATACGAGTATGTAGAGCGGTGTCAACAATAACTGTCACGCGTCAATTGAATATGAATAAAGACAAGCGCCAGGTTTATTACCAGTAAAATATAATAATCCAATGTGTATTATTATACTGATCCAAAAACTCGAGAAATTATTATTCATCAGAACCATAAAGGGAAAACATTGCGTGAAATTTCCAATTAATTGACTTTAGCATCAACTACATTGTTTAATATAATAAAGGAATATGGTGAAAATGCCAAATATTGATGTTTGTGGCAAAAGCTCAAGCCGTGCAAAAGCTGTTTCTCAAAGGAGTGTAAAGCATTTAATTAGAATACGTAAGTCAGGAAGAAGAAATACACTACGAGAAGTAACTGCTAGAAGGAATAGAGAAACTGGGATGAATGTTTCCAAAGAATCTTGTTGCAAATATATCCATAAAAGCGGTCTTAATTTTTATAAGGTATGTTTGAGAGGCTCTTCTTTACAATAAAAATTTTCTCATTTTTTATTTATTCAAGTAGGCTAAAGAAAAACCATTGCTGATGGAAACATAAAAAAATGAATCGTTACCTTTGGACTAAATCAAAACTTTCTTGGACCAAACATAACTAATACAAAGTTATCTATAGCGACGAAAGCAAATTTGATGTCTGCTTGGGATTACCGAAAGGTTGTAATTCGGGAAAAAGTGTGAGTCAAGAAGCATTTTATAAGGATTTTCTCAAAAGAACTGTGTAAAGTTTCCACAGGGCATCATAGTGTGGGGTTGTATGTTGGCGAAAGAGTTAGGAACTTTACATTTTATTGAGGCTATAGTACACGCAGCCAAATATCAAGATATACTTGAATATTCGTTTCTACCAAGTGCGGCAAAGTTATACACATCCGGATATTTTATCTTTCAGTAGGACGGAGCTTCATGCCATACGGTTAAATCTCCAAAAAGTAGATGAAATAAATTGGTATTAAAGTTTTATCACATCCTTCTAGCATCCCGGATCTCAATCCAACAGAGACACTTTGGCACAAAATGAAACAAAACCTAAGGAATAACCCTTAGGGTACTTTGCCCCAACTACGTGCTAAATTATAAGAAATATGGGATCATGGACGTATAAACATAGACATATGTGTTTATACGTCCATGTATGGGATAATTTCACCCCTGAATTATGCGAAGGTTTATACGCCTAGTTTATACAATCCCTAATAAATTTCAGGCTGTTATTCAAGTTAAGGTCGCCGTTACGACTTAATAATTTTTATTTTAATTTGTTAAAATCCTCTTGTTCCAATATTTAGTTGTCAGCATTTTTTAACTAGAAAACAATTAATTAAATAATAATCAACATAAAACATATATTTAAACTGTAAAAATAATTCCATACATCATAAAAAATGTTAATTTTATATTTACAATTAAAAAAATTAAAATAAAACAATTTCGGTAAATTGGTATTTTATTCACAAAATAACTGCTTGTTCCAACATATGGTTGTTAGGGCTCGTAGGCCTGAAGAGCTAAATTATATATTTGAATGTTGCAAACTACAAATTTGCACAAAAAGAGAAATTCTGAAACTCCATTGCAATGATGAAATCTGAAACACATTGCATTTGATGTCTGCGCAATTGAAGATAAAATAATAACTCTTCATAATGTAAGCCTGCTCTTGTTTTTAGTAGTAACTCGAATGAGTCGTTTGAAAAATATCATAAAACAAAACTGTAAAGTGGGACAAACCAGTAAAATGGATCTATAGAAATTGTCAACAGAAATATTGAAAAACTTACAGAGAAGAGGAAAATTTGAAACGAGCGTTCAAATTTTGTAGAAAGTACTAAGAAATTTGGGTTAAATTCATTAAATGACAAATTTTTTTAACTTTTGAAATTTTGGTGGATGAGCCAGGTACAGGTTAAATACATTTTGGTCATACTTTAGTAGTTTTCTTACAAATAAGTGAGATGCCAAGCGAATGAAGATATGGTAGGAGAAAAGGGGTAAGTTGGCGAATTAAAGGCTAATATTCAAATTACGCTTCTTTCTCAAATTAAAAATATTTATTTATTGATATTTTGAACTCTACTTGTCACTGTAATCAATCTACACAATAACAGCTATAGCTAAACACATTTTTTGTCATTAAAAATTAAAAAGAGATAACATTCAAAAAAAGAGATAAAGCGACAAGCGTTGATAAGTTGACGAACTGTATAGGGTAAGTTGACGAACGAACAATCTAAAACTAATCGAAAAATATAAATTTAAATAAAATAATAAAATTCTAACATAAAAAATGCAAAATAGATAAAAGAAAACGTCTTTCAGTTAAGTACTAAGCAGTTATAAGTTAGAAAAAACAGTTTTTTCTTAATTCTAATTGTAACAAAAGTCGCACACCCATACCAAAGAATATCCATACTCTGGCCTGGGCTTCTGTTTAAGTTTCCGTGCATTCAGAATAAGCCCATTTAGAGCACGTCTCACATCGAAAGCATAACTCGTAGTGTTTGCCGTCTTCATTGCAAATCAAACACACTTTATCGTCTTCTTCATTCTCTACATTATTATCACTGTCATGATAAAGTATTTCTATTGAACTCTCTGAAAAAGAACAATCGACTAATTGTCGTTTTGTCTTTTAATTTGTTTTATTTTTTCTTATATATTTTTTAATTTGTATATTTTTGTGGTTTTTAGTTTCTGTGGGTTTTAATCTGACTTCAATTGTTTTTTCGTTCTTTGTGTATTTTTTCCAGAGGTGTACTGGAAAGAAACAGATAAGTTAGTTTTTTTCTACAGCGTCTATTTTTTATGATTGCTTGAGGTAGGGGAGGTAATACAATTGTCGTTTGATTTTTCTTGGTTGGGTATGGTGGCAGCTTTTTTAAATTACATACAATACAAGATGAAGTTATCAATCGTCAACACAAACAAAAATCAAAGTCGAAGGACTAAATACAGAATGCATGGAATACTTATACAGAAAAAGAATATCAAAGAAAATCGCTGGGAATGAAATATTAAAAAACGAAAACATCAAGGAAAGCTGGATAAAACTCAAAAATTACATAATTAACGCAGCAACATAATCACTTCGAGAGAGGAAAGTAACGAACACTAACATATCAAAAAGAAACCACCATGGTTTAGAGAGGAAGTGAAGACAAAAAGTGAAGAAAAGAAGAAAGCCTTTTTACAATACAGAACACAACAGGCACATAATCACTATAAACGAATCAAAAATGAAACGAATAGTTTGGATAGACAAATAAAAAGCGAACACTGGAAGAGCTTCTCGAAACAGATGGAACACGACTTCTACGGAACACAAACAGAAATATGGAGAATAATCAGACAACAAAGAAAAGAGATGAACGAACTAATAAAAAGGAAACTCATTAAGAAGGAAACATGGGTAGACTATGTTCGATCCCTATTTGCTAAAGGTGACGATAATGAACCACCAACCCCAGAGATGACGACAAACGAAAAAATAAATACGAGGGAGGAAGAGGTAAAGGAAGCTTTAAGAAAATTAAAAAATAGAAAATCACCAGGAGATGACAGAATACCAAACGAACGATAAAATTAAGTTGTTAGAAGAATTTTTTACTAAGTAACAAAAAAACAAAATTTGTTTAATTTACTAATGTTTGTAACTTGAGAACGATTTCCGAAGTGAAAATTGAAACGTCAATAAACGTATTTTAACCTTTAATTGTAGCTTATTCCCATTTAAGTAGTAATTACATCAGATAATAGAATAAGTGATGGAGTTTAAATATCTAGGCATCACATTATCTAGCTAAGGAAAATTCGAAACTGAAGTGGAAGATCAAGTGAATAGAGCAAACAGAGCCGCAGGCTGCCTCACTGAAACAATATGGAGAAATAAAAATATCGGTAAAGAAATGAAAGGCAGAATTTACAAAATAGTCATCAGACCAATAATGACATACGCGAGAGAAACACGACCTGACACAGAGAGGAGAAAAATGATGTTAGAAACAGCAGAGATGAAAACACTTAGATAAATTGATGGCAAAACACTGTGGAACAGAGCTAGAATACAGATATATGACGAAGATGCAAGGTGGAGAACATCAAAAACTGGGTAAGAAATAGAAGAGTAGAATGGAATGATTATATAAGCCGAATAACAACAAATAGAGCAGTAAGGACGGAAAAAGACGGTTCGCCAATAGGAAGACGATCAGCAGGAAGACCACGAAAACGATGGAACGACAACTTACTGGAGGCATATTGAAAAACAGATAGAGTCATGTCTATATAAAAAGAAGAAGAAGAAAAAGAAGAACTAGTGGTGATGACTTAGCAATGTTTACTCAAGAAGTTGAAGGCACTGACACTGGCAAGATATTAGCTTCCATAACTTCATACAAGTTGAGTTCTGGTTGGCAGGATTCTCATATTGACTTCTTCTTCTTTTTATGTAGAAATGACTCTGTATGTTTTCAATGTGCCTCCAGTAAGTTGCCGTTCCTTCGTTTTCGTGGTCTTCCTATTGGGAACCGTCTCTTGCCATCTTTACTATTCTATTTATTGTCATTCGGCTTACATGATCATTTCATTCTACTTTTCTATTTCTTACCCAGTTCTTGATGTTTTACACATTGCACCTACGTTGTATATACGTACTTCTAGTTCTGTCCCATAGTGTCTTACCATCAATGTTTTCAAGTGTTTTCAACTCTGCTGTTTCTAACATCCTGTTTGTCCTCTCTGTAAGGTTCTCAGGAAATGTGGAGGGTGATTATCAAAGTTAGCAACCTACCAATCGTAAAAACAAATACTGCTCAAGAGATATACAGCAATGCACAAAAATTTTAAAAGCATACAGAAGCTGTCTTCTGGCTCGAAACGGAACGTACAACTTCTTCGAATTATTTGTTTTGGATTTGTTGCTACTTTGTAGCGAAACATGAATGTTTCTGTTTTTTCTGTACCAGGGATTGGAAATATTTTATAAATTGAATAAAATCTACAAAATTATATCATTTAGTTATAAAGAAGTGAAATCAAAAAAACAGTTCTACAATAAATTTCCAAGCTGTTGGGATATAATTTTCTATTTTACCAGTGCAAATTGAAATTATTTTACTGATTATTTTGTTTTTTTTTTAATTTTCAGGCTTAATAATAACTTTTATCATGGCCGTCTTAATTGGATGCAGATTGAAGGTAGTGCGAAGAAGAATAAGAAAAGGTGGTAAAGCATACGCCCACGACGCTGACTTCTTGGTTAATGGAATGTATTTGTAAACGTCTACTAAACTAAAAAAAGTTCCCACCGTAGTTTAAAAATAAAAATTATATTTTTGCTATAAGTAATCATTTAATATTTACAGTTTTTATGACTGCTAATTTAATATGTGTGTATCTGAGAGAGCGTTTGCAAATAATAAAGGGGGATTTTTCAGAATCCTACTATATCACACTTCTGTAGTTAATTTTGCACTTTTAATCGCATGTTAAGAATTTTGTGTTCGATTTCTCGAACAATGATTGTGTATTTGCATTAAAATTTGCCGCCTGTTCATGGGCGAAGATTTTTAGGTATTCTAAGTTGGTTAAGAAGTATTCGTTTCCTTTGATAATTTAGTAAAATGTACAGTGGTGGCAAATAATCGTGGGAATTTGCTCTATTTTTACTTTTTGGAGTTTGAGCAGCAGCAGAAAGGGCCTAAGGGATAGATGTCTGTCCTGTGGGAGTTTATAGGTGTAGACTTGGTGCTTGTGTTTTTGATTTTGGGTTGGTTAGGTCTTTGTGACATTTTTTTACATCTTGGGGCATAATATATTCGACAAGAGATGTGTTTCTTGAGATGTAAAGAAGTTAAAATTCTAGGAGGAAATCTAGTGACACTTTTTCATAATGGTCTAGGAAGCTTTCATGGTCATTAGTATATAAAACGAAGCAACGCTCTCATGGGCTCATGATGATGACCTTGAGACTATTGAGTCATGGGGGTATTTCCGCTGGGCAAGGTATAATGAAGGGGGCAGAGTAATTCTATAAGATTTGTTTTTGTTTTCAAGAACCGTCTCACCAGCAGACTTACTGGCAAGAAGATGCCTTAGATCTGTCTCTTGAGCCCCGGTTTGTGAGATATTTGGTCGCTAGTGGTGAGGAATTCGTTGTTTGCCTTGATCGGCAACCAGAGTGAAAACCCTTTGCGCCGATGTTTTACGTGGGAAAATGCCACACCTGTGTGTGTTATTACAGTATAGTAAGTCGCGAACTAATATATATATATATATATATATATATATATATATATATATATATATATATATATATATATATAGTTTATAGACCTTGTTACTCACAGGTACGTAAGACTATGTGTTGATGAAAGTGTTGATCCACGTATACGTAATTTTTGTGATAATAAATGCCTTTGTTCTTTATATTTCTATAATATTTAATAACCAAGTTCACTCTTTCTATTGCTTTTTTCAACCATTCTATATTTTTATTATATCAATTTAGCTTCTGCTTCCACAAAAAAAAATGTAACGCGTTTTTCTTATTTAATTCGTGCTATGTCATAATTATCATCCTTTTTCATAATTATCATCTAACTGAACAAAATACTTCATTTTGTGCATTTTCTCTTTTATAAAACAGTCTGCATATTTTTTATTTGTTCTTGTTAAGTCTACCTGCAAGGTAGATCCTCAAGATCTTTAAGTGGAATATTTGTGTCCGTTGGATGATTCTCTAACCCTACACTTTCTTCATTTGAGTGTAAAAAGCATTCCTGCTGTTTTTTTTTATTTGTCGTGAACTTCTTGCATTATCATATCCTCATTGAACATTGGTAATTATTTGGACCGCATAAGTTTGTTCATAATAACTCTAAAGAGATCTAATCATTATTTACTAGGCTGCTGCCTTCAGCTCTAAGATTAGTTGTGTACCAAAACCGTGTGCTTTCTCGTAATTTACCTCGAATTATAATCTAAATGTTGTTGGTTTTCATCTATTCTCCAAAAGTTTTAAGTTGGTAATTCGACACATCCATGAGACAGCATCATTCTTCGATTATTGCATTATTCTAATATTGCCGTTATCTTGTTATTACGGGCTTCTGTTATAATCCACGCTTCCACTTTATACATACAGAAGAGTTTAAATATACGTAACAAGTATATACTCGAATTATAACCTGTAACTTAAGATATCAGCCGTAAAAAACAGTTTTATTCCACGAAATATACTTTTGACTTTCTATGGATAATATCTGGATGATCTTTACTGAATAATGTGTGTATGTTTTCAAAAAAGAATAGTTTTACTGAATATGATGACTGCCTCAACTTCTTCCAAAATGTGTGCAATCTGTCATTTAACAGTTTATTTCTTTCAGCACATCGCAGTTAATTCATTTCTTAAAATTTATAGATATCAATGCTATAACACAGCTTACAGCTTTTTATTTAGAGAGATATATTATTGGGGCTTTGGTGGGAACTAAATAAATGCAAAACAACTTAAACATATTTTTACAAATATATCAATGTGTTTGACACATAAGTTTTTAAAGTTTGTTGTTTGAGCATATTGTTCAGAAATGTAAATATATGACTATGTACGAATATATAAAATGTTAACGCTGATTTTTTATTCGTTTCATAATGATAATTATTTATATAACTTAAGGATTTTGTCTGAACTGTTTCTTGTAATAAATTGCTTAGTAAATCAGTGTTTTATTTGTAATTACCTTACCGCATAATCAATAAATAATTGATTACATCAAAGAATAATATAATCAAGTCGTAGAATAAGAAACAAATTTAATGTTTATTCTAACCTTCCACTGATGTACATTCGGTTTTGTTGGTTACAGATATAAATAATTACACAAGAACCTCGCGGTAGTAAGGTCACAGTTTATTGCTAAAAGAATAATGCTTCTTTAGCCACATATTCATAGACATATATATTAACATTAACATAGACTGAGCATGCCAGCAACTAGGAGTGACCACGATACACACAAGTGTATCGTGGCAGTGACGACAACATATTTCGCGGTTGTTTGATCTGTCTCCCTATAGCGCATTGAAACTCCCCACTGGCTTTCTCCCAAACCTATTTGATTTAAGATAGAGACACAACTAACATGACAACAAGGATGAAGTCGATACAGACTGCTCGGTCTATGTTAATATGCGTCTGTGGATATACTGTGGTAAGGTTTTAATTTGAATACCTGAAAAGTAGGCAACTCTTAGAACTACCTCTAATGACAGCTTTTATAATATTTGTTCTTAGTAGTATATATGAATGTGTGGTTCTGTCTTTTCTACCCAACCAGTTTTATATCATTTGTTTCTGCCATGTACACAGAATGCCAGATGACAGGATTCCGAAACAGATTTTGACGTGGACACCACAAGGGAGAAGGAAAAGATGAACTAAAGGAAAAAAGAAATCCCTCCAGGCCTATGGTTAAATAGAGAACAATGGCGGTTACGAGTCAGAAGGCGTCGGAGAACGCTGTAAACCAATAGTAGTAGTAGTGTTTTTGTCAAAGTCGTCTGATATTAGGGAGAAGATACCAGCGACATGTTTCTGGATTTTTATTTCACTTCTTTTCAAGTCGAGAATAGTGGTGTATAGGTTATTAGTAATCTTTTTATGTGCTCTTACTTGCGCACACTTCCTGATGTTATGAGTTAAGGCTATTTGTTTAGACGAAGTAAATATTCCGTAACAGAATATACCAGGACCATCGCCTTGTCATTTGCATCAAAGACTAGCTGGATGTTGTTAAGTTTACCCAAGTCATATAAGGCCAACAGGTCCTATGAAATGTTCGTATGATTGTTGGCGAGGGTCAATTTTGAACGAAAATAATAATTTTTACGATAAAAGCCTATTTCTTAACAGGAAATATCATTTTTACCTAAGAATATTGTCCCTTAAAGGACAAAACTTAGCGGAATTCATAAGGTGCTTGTTGCTGTATAGACCTTTTGACATATCGCTATTTAACGTTTTTTTTCTTAGCTCTATAACTCCAAATGAGTCTTGGTCGCGTTTACTATTTTTCTCCACTCTTGCTGGTCTTGTGCAGCGACATTCCATTGTTGCAGCCCCATCTTATGTAGATCACTCGTTACTGCATATCTTTCTCGGGCGACCAACTGACGTTATCTCATTGCGTTTCCCAGAAGTTAGTATTTAGCAGTCTTTCATCATTTGATCTAAAGTTATGTCCTACCCATCTTATCCGATTTGCCTTAATGTATCGTACTGTTTTTTTCTTCATAGAGTACTTTGAGTTATTGTTTATATCTTCATCTCGACGCTCCTGTTATCTCGTTTCTACAAGGCCCAAAGATAGTCCGGAGGATCTTCCATTTTAAGGCTGATAATTTTTTTTGTTTCACGCTGGTTCAGTGTCTATGTCTCACTTACATATCTTATTAGGGGGCGAATTAATGTTTTAGCTGTGTTTGAGATAAATTTTATTTAAGTTTACGCTCTATTTCCTGCCACAACTGCTACGCCTGTTTCATAACTATTTGTGGCTGTTATCATTGCTCACAAGTATTTGACTTCGAAATTGTATTCATTTATTGATATCGTTTTATCTAATTCTTAGTCTTGAATTTTTGGTAACTAGCATGTAGTTGGTGGTATCTTCATTGACCTTAAGGCCTTATGTCCTTGACTCCGCTTTCAAAAAGAGTAAAAACTTCTTCCGCGTGTGCAGAGAAGCAATTTGTTAATTCTGTTTGTGCTTTCCTAACTGCGTGTTGTAAAGTGAAAGGGGAACGCCTTGGCTTAATACCATTTTGATTTAAAACTTATCTGATGTATTACTGCCAATTCTGATTCGTGAACATGAATGTTGCACACACATCTGGGTTAATCTTACCAGCTTTCTGCGTACTTCTATTTCTGCCATATTTTCCACAGTAAAGCTCTGTTTACAAAGTCATATGCTTGTTTAAAAAGTACAAAATTTTTATGTACATCTTTGTTGTATTCATAACTCTTTTCTAAAATTATCATCACATTGTTGCCGATGTAAACTATGTTCTATTTCTGAATATTCTATATTTTCAATTCTTGTTTTTCCAAAGATGTATAATTGATTAATTATTTTCAATAATACTCATTACTTTAGCGTTGGAAGGTCTTGTTATTGTAGACTTCATCGAATGCAAAACTATATTGAAAACTGAAAGTTTCTGTCACCTTTCAAGAACGTAAAAGATTATAGATACCGTACGTTACGTTT